ACACACCCCGATGGGCACAGCCTTTGTTGGCTGCTCCGGAGCGGGCAGAATAAAAGGGATCAGCAGATGCACCCACTGGGACCACCCAGGGTCAGAGGTGTCAAGAACCTTGAGGACGCAGGAAGCCATGTACTGTGGGTATAGCTCACTGGGAAGAGCTGGCACCGCGAAGGCTATAGCCAGGACCTCCCTGCCAGACTCGCTCAGTAGGTAGTACTGTGTCTAGACGGACTGACGCATGAATACGTCTTCTTACAAATGTTACTATGTTTATACCTATATGTATGTCCCTCTCTGTGAATATACATACACACACATCTACATACTGTGCTAAATGAAAAAAGAAACCCAGCGGCAAATACATATGGAGAACACTCGGACACTGCAGTGTGTACGAGTTTCCTATCGCCACAGTAAAGAATTGACACTAAATGAGTGGCTTCAAAGAACACAAATTTATTAGCTTATGGTTCTGAAGGTTGGCTGTCTGAGACAGCAGTCACTGGGCTGTGCTCCTTCTGGAGGCCTCAGGGGGATGACTGTTTTCTTGTCCTTTCCAGCTTCTGGAGGCGCCCGCATTTCTGGGGTCACAGCTTCTCCCTCCAGCTGTAAAGCCAGCAATGGCCAGTTGAGTTTTGGATCCTATCACTCCCCTGAACCCTCCCCTCCTTTCCCACTCAAGGGCGCTTGTGGTTACATTAGCCCACCTAGATAATCCAGGGAAATATCCCTAGACTAAGGTAATCTGATTAGCAAACTTAATTCTATTTGCAACATATATTCCTCTTTGCCACATAACACAGCGCATTCACAGGCTCCACAAGCTGGACGTGGACATCGTCTCTGGGGTGGAGGGGGGGGACACTATCCTGCCTACAGCACCACAGCACAGAGAGGAAAATGGCAAATAACCATCTCACCGTGAAGTTTTAAAACCTTACAGAAATGATTTCAAATAAAGGAGATAACAAATAAAATGGCCAAAATATCAGGGGACAGAGGAAGGGGGAATAAAACAAAAGTTGACAGAAGTCAGAAAAAGAAGAAAGAAAGAAAGAAAGAAAGAAAGAAAGAAAGAAAGAAAGAAGGAAGGAAGGAAGGAAGGAAGGAAGGAAGGAAGGAAGGAAGGAAGGAAGGAAGGAAGGAAGGAATGGGGAAAGAAGGAAGGGAACCATATCAGGGATGCAGACAGAGTGGGAGGGAGTGAAAGGATGCCGCTAATAAAGAATAACAAAGCCGTAGCTGCCTCTCACTAGAGGAGAGAAAGGGTAAGAAAAAAAATCCAGGAGACAGTTTTATTTTTATTATTTTTTTATCTTAATGTTAACAACTTTGTTTTATTAACATTTAATAATTTTCAAAATATAATGTATTGTCAAGTGGGCTAACATACAGTGTGTACAGTGTGCTCTTGGCTTTGGGGGTAGATCCTGTGGTTCATCACTTACATACAACGCCCAGTGCTCCTCCCAACAAGAGCATTCCTCAGTGCCCATCCCCCATTCCCCCTCCCCACCCCTGCCCACCATCAACCCTCAGTTTATTCTCTGTATTTAAGAGTCTCGTATGGTTTGCCTCCTGCTTTCTCTTTAACTATTTTTTCCCCTTCTCTTACCCCATGGCCTTCTGTTAAAGTTTCTCAAATTTCACATGTGAGTGAGAACATATGATATCTGTCCTTCTCTGACTTACTTCACTCAGCAAAATACCCTCCAGTTTTGTCCACGTTGCTGCAAATGGCATGATTTCATTCTTTCTCATTGCCATGTAGTATTCCATCGTATAGATAAACCACATCTTCTTGATCCATTCGTCCATTGATGGACACTTAGGCTCTTTCCATGATTTGGCTATTGTTGAGAGTGCTGCTATGAACCTTGGGGTTCATGTGCCCCTATGCATCAGCACTCCTGTATCCCTTGGGTAAATTCCTAGCAGTGCTATTGCTGGGTCATAGGGAAGTTCTGTTGTTAATTTTTTGAGGAACCTCCACACTGTTTCCCAGAGGGGCTGCACCAGTTTACATTCCCACCAACAGTGTAGGAGGGTGCCCGTTTCTCCACATCCTCACCAGCATCTGTAGCTTCCTGATTTGTTCATTTTTCTCTCTGACTGGCGTGAGGTGGTATCTCAGCGTGACTTTGCTTTGTGTTTCCCTGAGGATGAGCGATGTTGAGCATCGTTTCATGTGAAAGAGGCACAGGTTTAAAATGCAGTGTAGAGTGGATGATACAGATGCTGTGGGAGAAGAAACCACATGCATTGGAATGGGGGTCCCTGAAGGAAGAAACCAGAAAGGGAGAGAAGAAATATTTGAAGATACAGTTCAAGAAAACGTCTTTGAAAGAAAAGAAGGCTTGAGCCTGTGGAAAGAAGGAGCGCACCACGGTACGTGCAGCAGCAAACGCTGGAGCTGGCTGGTCACTACACTTCAAGGATAAAGAGAAACTTCATTTGGGCAGCTGTGCAAAAAAAGGAAGACATGCAGGAGAAAAGCCCAAGCAGGTCTCACATGTTTTTACAGCAACGTTTAAAGAAAAAAAAAAAAGAAGAAAAGAAAAAAGAAAACAGAGAGAAGTCCTTACGACATATTCTCAGGGAAAGAGGATGTGAGCCATGATTTTACGTCCATCCAAATTCTCCGTAGAGAGTAAAGGCTACCCACAAAGTACCTCTGACAAGAAAGGACTAAGGAAACATAACTCCATGAGTCCTTCTTGGGGCAAATACCAGATGGTCTACTCCAGCCACACAGCGTATGCCCAGAAAAAGGAGGAAATGTTTCGAATTCTTTTTATGAAAAGAGCATAACCTTGACATTAATACCCACTGGACTGTAATGGGGGCAGAGACAGTATGGCAACAATAATAAAAAAAAACCTCTCACTCATGAATGCAGATGCAAAAACTCTAAATAAAATATAGTAATGGCAAGATTTCATTCTTTTTTTATGGCTGAGTAATGTTAATTATACTTCGATGAAAATGAATCTAATGAACTAACCCAGTAACATTTCCAAATCCATCTTGACCAAGTGTGTTATTATATGAGGAGTATAAGGACAATTCAATTTGAGGAAATCTAATAAAATAATTCAAGGGAAATGAAAAGATCATCTTTATTTTATGCTAAGGAGGTATCTGAAAAGTTTCAATATCCATTCCAACTAAAAAAGAAGTACTCAGAGAAACAGGGGTAGATATGTACCACCTGTCCACCAGGGATACATAGTAAAACATATTGATTCTATAGTTCGAATCCTGCGTCATTACTAATGACAAGCCCCTAGAAGCATTTTCCCTAGAATCAGTGACACAATGAAAACTCTTGCTTTGACTATTATTATTTAATGTCACACTGGGGGTCCGAGCCTACGCAACTACACAAAAGACACCACCCAGGGTCTCGCCAAAGGGATGCCACAGGGGCCTCGTCAATCCTCTGGGTCCCTCTGCCAATTAGCAGAGGGTCACGCTGATTTGTGCTGCAGGATTGCAATCAGCCAGAAATACCCCAGAACTTTCCACAGGTAAATTGCAAGAAGGGGCATCTGGGTGGCTCAGTTGGTTGGGTGTCTGACTTCAGCTTAGGTCATGATCTCACGGTTCGGGAGTTCAAGCCCCACATAGGGCTCTGTGCTGACAGCTCTGAGCCTGGAGCCTGCTTCGGATTCTGTGTCTCCCTCTCTATCTCTCTGACCCTCCCCCACTCACACTCTGTCTCTCAAAAATGAATAAATATTTTTTAAAAAATTGCAAGGAAAAAAAAGGATGGGAGGGAAATGGCGGAATTAAACAAGACTTAAGAGAGATAGCACCATTTTTGAAAGCAGGCAAGACTGCACTGCAGTGTTCTAGGGACAGGTGCTGGGTGGCCTACTCAGGAATGCAGAGAGGTGACGGGCACACAGCTCCGGGGAGTGGTCACTCTGTGCAGAGAGAGGAACTTGTGATGGGAAAGACGGCGACAGTTTCTGAGGAGGCTGTTCTGGTCCCCGGCGATGTTTACAAGGGTGTCTGCCTTCCCATCACTCATTCAGCGAGAGCTCTGTTCTGTGCGCTTTCTCTACCCCTGCACAGAATTCTACTTCACAATAAAAAGGTTTTAAAAGTGCTCAGCTCTGCATGGCATAACCCCCCATAAAAACACCAAAAGTCAAAAGACAAATCACAACACTACGTTGGCAACTTCGATCAGAAGCAAAGCGCTGAAGACTTCCTTCAAATTAACGAGAACAAAACCCCCAACGGTTTATTGCAAAAACTGACAAAAGGTAAGAACACAGACCCCAAAATACAGAAAAGACGTATTTCTTTTCGCTTTTCTTGTGGGGGAATCCATGATGGCATCTGTCAGGATTTTGGTTCCCCCTCTTTTCCATCCCATGTGCCATTGACGTCATGTGACTGGCTCTGGCCAATGACATGAAGCAGAAGTGAAATGTGTCACTCACAGGTGGAAGCATTTAAATGCCCATGGAAGAGGGTCTGGAACTCCTGCCCTCTCCTGCCCCTGGCCCCCTCCTCTCCCCCACCCCCCAAAATGGTCCTGGGAGCGTGTATACAACAGAGACACAGAAACGAACCACTGCATGGAAGGCAGCTGCACAGACATCACTCAGTTCCACCAGGGACTTCATGTGACCAAGACACAGACTCTTTCTGTGCCACTGAAATCCAGGGGCAGTTTGTTGCATGGTGTCATCTAGCCTATCGGAGTGTTACGGATGTCCTAGGTGTGCCCAGTGACAATTATTATCTTGGTCCGTACTAGGGAGAAAAATGCCGCTCTTCCCAGCGGTGAGTCATCAACTGTATTACAAAGTGGTGAGGCTTCTAAATGCAGCTGATAAGATAAAAAAAATGACAGCCATTTTTGTAAGGCGGAATATCTTCATATTTCAAAATGCTATGCCACAGACAATATGTTTTGATGACCACACAATTTCATTTCCTTTGTGATCGCAACAAATGTACTCTATTATGAAAGAAATAGCCGACACTTTCTTTATTTCACTTATTTATTCAACAAATATTTATCGAGTGCCTATATTGAGTCTGGCGCTTTGCTGGGTGATATATCAGGGAATAAAGGAAGTAAAAATGCCTGCTGGCCTAGAGTTTACATTCTGGTGGGGAGATAGGGACAGTAAACACACAGAGTGCATAAATAAAGGGCACAGCGTGACACAAGGTGTTATGGGCTATGGGGAAAATATAGAGCAGGATAAGAAAGATCGGGAAAGCTGGGGGAGGTGTTTGTATTTTAAATGAGTGGACAAGAGAGAACTTATTGAGAAAGTGACATTCAAGCAAACATGTGAAGGTGGGGCTGTCAGGGGAAGGGTGCTCAAGGGAACTGAAGCAGTCTGTGCAAAGGCCCTGGGGTATTAGAACAATGAGGAGGCTGGAATGGAATGAATAATGGGTGAGTGAAAATCAGAAAAGGGCAGAGAGATAGAGAGAGAGAGAGAGACACCAGTTGGAGGACCCTGCAATAATCCATCATACGGAAGCAGGGGAGGGGATGGAGGGGATGGAGGGGAGCTCAGATTCTGGGTCCATGCTTTCAAGATGGAAGCTCCAAGATTGCTTGATGGTCTGACTGTGACACGTGAGAGAAAGAAAAATCACGTCTGTGTCCCAGGTTTCAGTCTGAGCAGCCGGAAGGAAGGGGACAAACGACTCAAGTAAGATCACGAGAACAGTGGCCTCTGGAGGAACCCAGAGCTCGGTTTCTGGTACGTCAACCACGAGATGACGATTAGCCACTGCGACTGATCCCTGTGTGAATTCCTGTGACCAAGGTGCTTTAAAACAACGGAAACTTCTCTCACAGTTCTGGGGACTGGTCCAAAATCCTGCAGGGGACTCCAGGGGAGAATCTGTTCCTGGCCTCTTCCAGCTTTGGGGTGATCAGTATTTCTGGGCTTCTGGGACCACACCGATCTCTACCTCCACGGTCACACTGCTTCCTCTCCATCTGCATGTCTTTTATAAGGGTGCTTATCAGTGGGTGTAGGGCCTGTGGAGAGAATTCAGGATGCTGTCGCCTCAAAGTCCCTCAGTTACATCAACGACCTCCTCCCACTTTTTTTTTTCTAAATAAGGTCACAGCCACAGATTTGAGAGATTAGGATGTGGACATATCTTTGGGGCCACCATTCAGCCCACACAGGTCTTCAGTGCAAATTTCTCGACTAACGGCTCAGGTTTGGAGGGCACAGTAAGACAAGGGTCCAGAAGGAGATCTGGGAAGTACACAGTTGTCTGCCACGGAGATGCTTTGACCAGCGGAGCAGTCTCATGGCCTGGAAGGCTTTTTCTTTTTTGGGAAATCTGTGGTTCAGGTAGATTGGTGGTGAAGACGGTCCTGAAGCAAGGGGTCCATCACGGCATCACAGCCATACGTGCCCTCGCGACAATGCCCAGTTCGCAGCTCCCATAATTAAGCTGAGGGCTCAGGAAAGTTGTGCTTAGCACTCACTGAGGCAAGACGAATACCCTGACCTCCCTTCCTCCTCTGGCCCAAATGCCTGGAGCGGAGGCATGTTCCAGGCGAAGGAGGAAGCCGACCACAGAGAGCCTCTGCCGGGTTCGCTGCTGGAGCCCTGGGGGAATACTGCGCGTCCCCCTGGAACAGGGGCTCTGTGGGTGGGGGGGAGGACAATGGCACCACCTTTCCACCCGGGACAGTTGTCCACGTGGAGACACCAAGTCACATCATGTGGTCAGCTACACCGTCATCATGTCTTCACGGCTGGATGAGGTCTTCGGGTCATCAGCGGTAACTCGCACATTCTTAGGTGAGGAGCCCACAGACATAATGGTAAGACTCACTGCGCTTCTCCAGGGCACCGACGAGAAGGCTGTTTCAGACCCCACCTCCCGTGCTCCCCGTGACATTGCTGCCTGGCTACCCACCCACCTGGGGACCAATGCTCGGAGTGCAGCAGCCTGTGGGGTTAGAATTTTTTGTTACTAGCAACAGAAATGGAATCAAGTTAATTAAAGCCAAAAAATAATTTATGAAAGGGACCTCAGGGCACTTGCAGATCTCCAGGAGGTCGAAGAGTCAGGCGAGGGAGCTGCTTGGCTATGCACAGGGCCCCAGGTCACAGGTTTATCCCCCTGGCCTTTCTGGTCCCTAACCCTGGGACTCTGGCCACTGGCCACAGGTGCTCTGCCGTGGCCACTCCTGGCGGACCGGTCCCAGGAGGTCCCTGCTCCTTTGCCTACAGGCTCTGATGCCAAGCTGGAGCCACGAGCTCCCATCTGGCTGCTTGGGAGGGGTGAGGGCTTGGGAGGGGTGAGGGCGAGAAACTGAGAAGCCGGCACTTTCAGCCTGTCTGGTGGGAGGTCTAAAGGCAGATTCCTGGTTCCCCAAACACAGAAGGTGCTCAGGTGCATGACGGCCACAGTTAGCAGCAATTTTCCCAGCAAGAGGCTGGGATGTGCCCGCTTGAGATGGTGACAAAATCATCACATCCTCCTAAAACATGATCTTGGTCACATCACTCTCTCAGGGTAAAACTCTCAGTGTGTCGTATATAGTGGCAAACAGTCCCGCCACCTGGTCAAGGCTCAATGGTCCATGCCGGCCTGTCTGACCAGGCTGGCTTTCAGCACAGCCCCCCACCCTGTCTCGGCCACCACAGGCCACTCACTTGCTCCACCTCATTTGTCAGTTTCTTTCCTTCCTTTTTTAAATTTTTAAAATTTTAGGTACAGTTTGCATACGGCGAAACACACTAGTCTTGGTTATGATTTGATGAGTGCTGACAAGTGCACACACCTGTGTAAGCCAGACCTCTACCAAGCTTTTCTATCACCTGGATCAGTCTCTCATGCCCCTCCCCCATCAATGCCCAGAAACAACTACCGATTTGCTGTCTGTCAGCACAGATTTGTATGTTCTAGAGTTTCCCATCCGTGGAATAAAACTGAATATCCTTTTATCGTGTCCAGCCGCTTTCTCTTGGCAAGATGTGTTAAGTGTCATCCGTGTGGCCGTCTGTGTTAGCAGTCAGCCCAGGGTTCCTGCCCAGAGTGACAGGGGGAAGTGTCTTGGGCAGACCGCTGAGAAGCTGTGACCTTTGCCGTTTTCGTTTGAACGAGGATGGCTCTGATCCCCAAGACTGGCTGAGAAAGGAGGCAAGAGGGTCGCGGGATTGAGAGCCACCTCCCCGCCGCCCTACCCAGGCCTGGGTCTCTTTAGGCACTGCTGCTTCTCTCAAAATAAGGTTTTGTTTTGTTTGGGGACGACAAAAAGAGTTTCTTGTCTAAACACCACTTGAGGGAGCACGGCTGATGGCCTAGGTGAGCTCAGCGGGGCCTGCTCTCTCAACTGAGCCCATCCTCCAGAATGAAAACATTTTCACAGTGGAGCGAGGTTGAGATTTTTACCAAGTCAGTGAACCAATGTTTGGCTGCCCAGCCTGGGCAGAGCAGCGTGCACAACTCTGGAAGATTCCCCAAACCTCAAGACTGTACCTGCGGCGGTCCACGGCCCCACTGGCGAGATGAGAAACACGTGTTGGGAGCCGCTGCCAGGCGTTTCCACCGTGAGCGACACCTGTCCCGTTCAGGGAGCGCAGGCCTCACAGAAAGCCTGGGACACCTGCCAGGTCGTGCCTGGGCTCTTAAATAGAAGGAAAATACGAGAGGGGTGACACTTGCGGTGCGCTCACGGTGGGGTTGCTGCCGCCACGTTTGCGTTTCTGCACGGCTGGGGCTTTCTGGGCACAGGCTCCTGAAACGGGATCCTGGCTGGGGAACAACGTGGGAAGCTAACTGGCAACTGCGCCAAGCGGGAGAATTCTGGAGACATGCGCCATCGCCGAGGGAGGAGGAGCGGCGCAAGCCTGGGGCTCCGGAGAGGCTGATTTACACCCGGAGGGTGGGGGTAAGATTCCCTCAGGGCCCCTCCCAGACCACTAACTCACCACGGCTTTCTGTGCAGGCCCCGTTTCACTTCTGGGTGCCAATTTACATACGGCCACAAAACAGAGCCGTATGTAGAAGTTAAGGACACAGGACAGAGGCCCACCTATCCCACGTGACAGTCCCTTGGTCCCGCGTCCTGGCCGTGGGGTGGGGGTGGGGCACCATACCACATGAAGTCACTGGAGACTCCGGTTCCTTCTCTCCAGCTGCTCCCTCACCCCCCGGACTTCCGTCCACACTGAACACAGTGGAAGCTGCGTTACTATGGCCTCTGCATCCCAGCCTCTGGAACAGAATGGAAAAGGCCAGGGCTGAAATGAGTAGTTCGGTCTCAGGCCAAAGGCTGCACGCGTCTCTTCTCACATCCCATTGGTCCCTAATAGTCACATGACCACACGTGCCGGGGAAGGCTGGGAGCTACCCTTCGGCTGCAACCCTCTAATTGGCCTCTAGTAGTCACATGACCACATGAAGCTGAAAGGGACGCTGGGAAATGTAGTCTCCAAGTGGGTGGCCCTGTGCCTGGCTGAAACTCCCTTAACACGAAAAAGGAGAAGAAGAGTTTGGGAACTCGCTCAGCCCAAAGTCCTTGAGGGACGGCAGAATTAATGTGTCAGCCTGGGTGGGTTTTCCTTCTCCCCTGCAGGGGTTAGGCTACTTCTCATAAACACAGTCCATTTTTTACAGCCTGGACTCCTCAGACTCTCTGGACCAGATGAGAACAGAGACAGCAGGTGCGAACCCCTCATCCTGGGACGTGCAGGTGAGCAGGTGCTCTCCTCCGCCTCCCCACATTTCACCATCCCCCATCGCGCACCGTTCTGCTCCCTTCTGCCTGGTTGCCAGTCTCTGCACGTACTTTGAAGTCTGTGGACTGTATCTATTTTCTGGTTTTCCCGAAAATGGAGTTTATGGGATTTTTAAGTCCTCCTTGTTCTTTATGCATGATTTCCAGGAGGAGACGTAGAAAAATGGTCTTATGCGGCCACGTTCATTCTGAAAGGCAATTGACTAGTTTAACGAGTCACTTTATTCTGGTTAGGAGTCAAGGACTTAGCCTCTCTGGAGACGGTGGTAAAAGGGGTTTCTCTGTGGGGCGAAGAGCCACGGCAAGTAGCAATTTAGGCTGGCGACAGAAAATCGGCTTGATTAACGACGGCAAGACCAGACAAGGAGGGGAGAATGCATCTGAGTTAGGGTGGAAAGCGGAACAACCTTGATAACATTGCTCTGGGCAAGATGGGAGCTGGTTTTCCAGCTTGGAAATTGGTCCAGATGAGCCTCGGGTAGGATCATAGGTAATGATCCTACAAAAAAAGTAAGAAGCTACAGGAAGAGAATGTGTAAATGCCACCGAGTAAATGCAAAGAGATGTCCCTGGGCCCTGGCAGCCTGTGTGTGGGGGCAGGAAGCACAGTCGTAGAGTCGCTGAGAGCAGAGGCCCGGGAGATGCGCTGTAGGGGCCACTTTGACTCTGTCCTGGGTCGCTGGCTCATTCCAGCTCTGCGCAACTGTGCCTTGCAGTGTGCCGTTTCCTCCACAGCATCCAGAGTTTCCTTCTGCAGCAGATGGCTGGTCTCAGAGCTAGAACCATGAGCACTTCTGTTCCCATGATGAAAAGCACCACCAGGTTAACTCTACAGACATCTTGTGATGCATTTGGATGGATAAGACGGCATGGCTTGCTTACGGGAATGTCTCCGTTCAGGACATCCTCGGGAAGCCAGGTGCCCTGCCGGATGCCACAGACGTGGCATTCCACTTTACAGGTAAGTAACTGAAGTTCAGAGGCCTGCGTGGCTTGCTCAAAGTCACGAGGACACGAAAGTGGTCAGGTGGCTAAGGTCGATACCACTAAGGTGTCTGTAAAAATCCTCATCCCTTTCTTCCTTGTGAACAGGAACTGAGTGTAAGGCTGCAACACACCCAGCCCAAGTAGATAACGTAATGATTAAGACCGTCATAATAAAGCTGTTTCCCAGCTCCTCAGCTCCTTCCACAGCTAGGGGGAGCCATGGGATCCAGTTCTGGCCCATGAAACCTAAGGAAAATGGCTACCTGCGACTCTGAAAAGCATTTTGGTAAAAAAAAAAAAAAAAAAAAAATGTGGCTCACGTGACTTCTCACACCTCCTCCCTTCTCACCTCCTTAATAGCAGATGTGATAGCTGGTGCTGCTGCAGCCATATTATGACTATGAGTGGGGGGAGAAAAGAGGAAGAAGGAAAATCCTGAGTCTCAGACTTAACACAGCCTGGGCCCCTTCTGATATTGTTAAAGTAGCTAAAGCAATGCCAGCAGCAGCCTATCTCCAGATTTCTGTGAGAAAAATAAGCCTCTTATTTATTTATTTTAAAGTTTTTTATTATTTATTTATTAAAGAGGGGGAGAGAGAAAGGGAGCAGAGAGGGGGAGGTAGAGGAGGAGAGGGAGAATCCCAACCAGGCTCCCCACTGTCAGCGCAGAGTCTGACGCAGGGCTCAAACTCACAAATTATGAGATCATGACCCGAGCCGAGATTTTTGCTCAACCCACTGAGCCACCCAGGCACCTCAAGCCCCTTTTAAAACTCCATGTTGCTCAAGTTTTCTCTTCATTGTAGTCAAATGCAGAATTAGAGTTAGAAGACTCAGAGCTGTCTGACCCTTGAGTCGTGGGGTTTCCACTCTACCATGGAGACTGCGTGGCCACAGACTCGGAAGCAGGTGCTCAGCCTCCAAGGGAGTATGGCTAAAATGTCTTGCTGTAAGGTCGGGCTGAGGTAGTCATGAGGCTGCGCCTCACCTTGCTGGACGAGACTCACTCAGGTCCTTTCTGTCCCAGGCCTCATTCAGCCCTGAGTCGAGCCTGCATGGTCTGAGCGGCTCAGGAGCAAGCGCACTGAGGCAGGGAATTGGTAGCCAGTCTCCTCCTAGAGGGGAGTTTGAAGTCTTAGCCCCAGGGACACGGGGGTATACCACCTGCTGTTACCACAGCAACGATCATTACTGGGCCCTTTGAAGCGACTGGCACATTGCTATTTTTCTGTGGAGGAAAATAGTTTCAGTTGTTTGCGAAACAAATCACCCCAAAACTTAGGGGCGTGGAATGCCCTTCTTTTATTTTGCTCGTGATTTGGGGGACAAGAAGGTGGAAGGGGTTTCAGGCAGTTCTTGGTTGAGTCCCTCACGCTGTGGCCACCAGGCAGTGGCTGACATTCAGCTGTCTGAGGACTGGGGGGGTGGCATCCAGGGTGGCACAAGCAGCGGCCTCCCTCCCTTCCTGACTGGCGGTCAGTGCAGCTGGTGGCCCGAGTGCCTCTCCAGCATGGTGGTCTCAGAGCTGCTATATTCTTTTATTTTAAAAAATTTTTAATGTTTATTTTATTTTGAGAGAGAGAGAGAGAGAGAGAGAGAGAAAGACAGAGCATGAGCAAGGGAGGGGCGGAGAGAGAGGGAGACATAGAATCTGAAGCAGGCTCCAGGCTCCAAGATGTCAGCATAGGACCTGATGCTGGGCTTGAATTCATGAACTGTGAGATCATGACCTGAGTTGAAGTCGGACGCTCAACCGACTGAGCCCCTCGGGCGTCCCTCAGAGCTGCTGTATTTCTAACATCGCTTCTGGTTTGCTCCAGAGCAAGCGTTGAAGAGAGAGGGCTTTCTCTGACCTGACCTTGGAAGTCACACAGTATCACTTTTCAGTTCATTCTGCTGGGTCATGAGCAACTCACCTGAGGTCAGCCTTGTGGTGGCTGGAGGGATGTAGCAGCAAAGAATTCTATGGACGTGGTTTTAAAACCGAACATGATCATCTGGAAGGAAATTCTGCTGGGGAACCATCTAGAAGGGAAATGTGCTGTTAGCTAACAGCACGGTGCTGAAGGCAGAGCTGTCTATACACTGTAGGACATTTTTGTAATTTTTTTTAAATTTGTCAATTTATTTATTTTTCAATTTAAAATTTTTTATATTCTTTATTGATGTGGATTTTTTCTTTTTTGGGGGGGCGGCAGCCATTGCCTTTTTCTGATTAGAAAATCATACGTGTTAATCGTGGAAGCTCTGGAAGGCAGAAAGTTAAAATCGTGGCTGACACAATCTCATCACAGACAGAACTACTGTAACATTTTAGGATGTTTCCTTTCAGCGCTCTCCCCCCCAGGATGATCCCAGATCACATGTAGTCCTGTGCAGGCAATGAATCAGAATGGTGGTTGGGACAGACCTGGGGACTGGGGGGTCACTGCCTTTGATGCTGTCAGGGAGGCCTCTCAGAGGGGGTGATGTTCTCACTGAAACCAAAATGAGGGGCACCTGGGTGGCTCAGTTGGTTAAGCACCCGACTCTTGATTTAAGTGTCTGACTCTTGATTTCGGTTCAGGTCATGATCTCATGGTTTGTGAGTTCAAGCCCCAAGGTGGGCTCTGTGCTGACAGCTCAGAGCCTGGAGCCTGCTTTAGATTCTGTGTCTCCCTCTCTCTCTCCCCCTCCCCTGCTCATGCTCTATCTCTCTCTCTCTCTCAAAAATAAACAGTAAAAAAACCCCCAACAAACCCAGAATGATTAAAAGACTTGGGCAAAGAACAGCCAGTGCAAAGGCCCTGAGGTAGCAGAAGATCTGGAAGGTCTGTGGATGAGAAGGGGGTCCAGTGAGCTTGGAGGGCCCTGCATTTCAGGAGGAGGCATAAAGCAGGGCAGGTGTCATCAAAGACTAGGCTACGTGGGGCTTGTCTGCCTTGGTGAAGAGGGTGGATTTTATCCTAAGTGTGATGGTGAACTTTAAGCAGAGCAGAGAAAGGATCTGATTTAAAATCAATCTCGAGTTGCCTGTGTGGCTCAGTTGGTTAAGCGTCCAACTTCGGCTCAGGTCATGATCTCTCGGTTCGTGGGTTTGAGCCCCGCATCGGGCTCTGTGATGACAGCCAGCTCAGAGATTGGAGCCTGTTTCAGATTTTGTATCACCCTCTCTTTCTGACCCTCCCTTGCTCATCATGCTCTCTCTCTCTCTCTGTCAGAAGTAAATAAAACATTAAAAAAATTAAAAACAATCTCTCTGGGTATAATAGTTTGCTGGAGCCCCCATAACAAAACATCCCAAGTGATGTGGCTTGAATAACAGAAATGGGTTGTCTCACCATCCTGGAGGCCGCAGGTCCGAGGTCAAGGTGTCTGGGCAGTGGGTTCCTTCTGACGCTGAGAGGGAGGGTCTGCTCCAGGCCTCTCCCCCACTGATTCTGACGGGGCACTGGCAGTGTGTGGCATTCCTTGGCTTATAGGGGCATCACCCAATCTCTGCCTTCATCTCGATATGGCCTCTTCTCGTGTGAGGTCTGGGTCCAAAGTTCTCTTTCTTATGAGGA